CGCTGGTGAAGGCGCCTGGTGTGTGAGGGGGGACTCGATATATGCCAGGAGAGGGGCAGCGGGGGGAACTTGCTCGGGAGGCAGAAGGTCTGGGTTTCACTTGAGGCTGGGCACAACCCTGATGTTCCAAGATGTAACACCAAATCACCGTCAGCCCGTCCTTCCGCGAGTCCAAGGCTACCAGTCCCCGGCACCTCACGCTCGGACGGTGAGGTGGAGGCTGGCGCGGCACCACTCTGCCTTTTGATCTCCATTTGATGATTTAGCAGCGCTCGGGATGTAAAGAATTGCTGAATTGCCAGAGCCAGTTCCTAAATCGCTTGTTTTTCTTGGCGGGAATAAAGCACTGCCCTGACTCAGCCTTGTTTTGATTGTTAGGCCAAATAGACTGGGGTGCTAGCCCAGCACTGTTGAAAGCGGAGTCTGGAGCCAACAGGCAGGAGTTATGTGCTGATGTAGCACTGACAAACGACTCAGGCAAGTCATTTCACTTCCCTGTGTCTCTATGTTCCCATGTGTAAGCTGATCTTAATAAAAATATTCATGTGCTTTTTCAGGGTACTTACCAATGCTGGCTTAAAGACTACTATGCCAGCAGATGCTGTTACAGCATCCAGGGACAGATACCACTGTATCCTCAGAAGCCTCATGGGATCATTGTTTCACACTCTTCTTTTTTTGCCATTGATTCATAGGCAATCCCTTTTTATCACCAAAATCCTCACGTCCAGAGGCTGGCGCTTCTATTGCTGAAGAGTAGGGGGTTACTGCAGCTTTGTAATAAAAATAGGATAGCATTACACCACCAGCATCTTAAACATAAATATGGAAATGTTAATTTAGAGTCAATTTTGGGATGTTTCAGACTGTAAAGTTCTTTTAACTAGATCTCTGTTGAGGACAGAGGAGCACTTTATGGGACTGTAAATTTGATGCAAACGGTGTCTATGAAATACAGATTCCCCCTACACACTAGCTGTTCTCTCAGTATCAATCATACGCCTTGCAAGGAATGTTTCACAAATATTCTGTAAATCACAGGAAAATGCTTGCAATAATGTGAAATATGACTTTCACTTGACTGTTTCACCAGAGGCCCCAAACAGGCCATTCTCCTGTCAGCACTAACATTTGTTATGGCTAATAACATTTTCAATCACAACTATTTTGGGAAAATGGATTTATTTTAAACCTGCTTCCTCGCAGAGGAGATCCTGAAAACGCCCTGCCAAGGACACAGGCTCCTTACAGAGCACAGACCATTAATTCACAAATGAAATTTCATCATCAAACATTTCTTCAACAGCTTTTTGAAGACTTTGTTTGTTTTCAGATACTGAGGTGCATGTTCACCTCTTGGTCACTGTTTTAAGTCTGGTTCAGGTAATAGCAGCAGAATGTTACTTTTCATCAGGTATCTTGGGGATATTCTGGAACTGATTTGGAACTTTCCTCCAGATACTAGGAGAAAAGGCTTAATGACTTTGTAGATAGGAAGTTGGTAATACTGGCAACTTACATTACATTGAAAGAAACTTCTTATTCTTAAAGCCAAATATTTTGTGTAATTTTCACTTTTTTTCTCTTAAACCACACTGTAAAGAAAACCTAAAATGGTGCTTTTCTTATGTAGGAAGTCTAAGAACTGTATTAGACAAGGTGTGGATTCCTTTCTTATTGTCAGGTGTGTTGACACAGCTTGGTAGATGACAACACACCCGTGTTAGTGCAGCTGCCCCTGACCTTGTCCCTCTTTCCACATCTGTGTATAGACACAGACACTGATGTTTAACTGCGAGGCTCCACAAGGTCGGTCAGTGTCTTAAAGCCCAACTGCCAAGTGCACCTTCACATTTATCAAGCTGCAAGAGGGCATACCATACTAAGACAAAAACGTGCCAAAGAAATTTGGCAAAATATGGATAGCTTTGTTTAACACCTATGTGAAGGGATGGAGGGAAGTGCAGGCAAGGGATGTTTCTGGAGCTTCTGTCTTCTTATCTGTAGTTCTCATCATTTCAGTTTTTCTTAGCTTGGCATAGAAATTAGATAAGAAAAAAGCAGAGCTTTTTGGTGTCTGTTACACCAAGGGATCCCCAAAGCGCTCTCCCAACTGCCAGGGCCAAGCACACTGTCCTGGAGTGAATGTGGGCCCAGTCTGAAGGACTGTTCCTCCATCGCGTGAGCGAGGGCTTGCTGCGCTGCTGTGCTAACAGGCATTTACAGCCCCCTTGACCCTGTCACTCCCCATAAATCCAGACCTATTTGTGCTCTCATTTCACCTTATTTGTTCTCCAGCAGGTCAGATATGAGATGCTGTGTTCATATCATGAGACTATTGAGAAACCAAGGCTAGGGTAATGGGTAACATCAAAATGACTTGATTAACGGAGCAGAGGAGAGAGCTCCTCAGTTGAAGTCACCTACCCTAGTAAATAATCTCAAGCCTGCTGCAAATTCATTGAGCAGCTTCAGACACACCAGGAACTCTCCTTTTGCTTCAGTTTTCCTATTTATGAAATGAATATAAAGGAAAATGAGATTCAGTTAATGGCTAATAAATGCTTTAACATTATTTACCAGAGATTTTAGATGTGAAACTGGTAGAGATTCCTTCGTTCAGGCTTTTTCTATATTCAAAGCCCTCCTTTAACTTCTTTCTCATTTTTCTCTAGGCAGAAGAGATCATGACTTCTGTCAAAGAGCAGGAAGCCATCAGGAAGCTCATGGTTTTCCTGCAGGAATGGGATACTGCCCACAAGGTTGCTCGAAGACACATTCTTGACAACTTCATTAAAAGCAACAATGGCAAGACAGAACGAGAGCTGGAGCTGGAGTTCTCCCAGGGAGCCAGCTTGTTTCTGGCTCGCCTAACAACATGGCTCAGGATGACGTATCCGTTTCCTTGGACAGCTGGAGGTGGCATGTGGCAGTGGGATGGAGAGGAGGGGAAAGTTCTCTACCTATAATCTGTCTAAAGAACAAGCTTCTGTATGGAGCCAGGTTAAAAAAAAATAACATGGCTATCTAAAGATGGAACTGAAGGGAAAGCCATGTAACCTGTCTCCCAGGGACCTAGAATTAGTGGGGTTTTATCATACTACTAGGATGGGCATGACACCTCTGCTCACCTGTGAGAAGGCCCACGCTCTCTCACCTAGTTCAGACCTCCACATTGTCAAAGGGGACACTGCAATGGTCTGTAAATCTCTCCTTAGCCTTGTCAAACAGCTACACGTACAGCACGTGCCTCAACAAGCTGCTCTAGTCCATCAGCATTTTCCTGTCTGCTGCAAGTGGGTGAGTACGGACGCTCATTGTGTGGGAATTGCTGCGGGAGAGGCACACAAAGGTGAGGGGCTGAGTAGGTAAGGAAAATCCTTGGCCATCTTTTGGGAAGGCTGAGGAAGCACTTCAGGCAAGGTAGTCCCCAGAACCGGTTGCGGTAGGAATTCAAATGCCCTCAAACCCAAATCGACCGTGTGTGCACGTCTCCAGAGCCACGGGGTCACTGGCACACTGTGGAAGTAGCGTGGTGAGAGCTTGCGTGCAGAGATGGGGCCTTCTCTGCCTGTGGTTCAATATCTGAAATGGGTAAAACATGAGCCGGTGACCTGCCGAATGGCAGCACGGCGTGCTGCTGGTGGGCATCTGCCTCTGCGCTCCAGGCTGAGCCACCAGGCGCCTGCTGCAGCGGGGCAGGAGGTGATGGTTCCCAGCTGCACCACGTGCTGACAGAGGAAGGTGGGCTCCAAGGCAGCTGACATTGCTGGCTTTGTTCCCCTGTCCTTGCAGACACAGGTACCTTATTGAATTTCTGGAGATTGGAGGTGTCTTGATTCTCCTGGAAATACTGGGGCTGAACCACCAGAGAGAAGAGGACAAAAGGGAGTGTGTAAAGCTGCTGCAGCTCATTGCAGACCCTGGCAGGAAGTATAAGGAGCTCATTTGTGAAAGCTGCAGTAGGTGGCACGTCCATCTGTGCTTTTTCCCAGTTCAGGCAAGGATGTTCTCCCTGACCTCTGGCCCCAGGCTGGTTGCCACGCGGAGCCGCTCCCTTCCAGCCAGTGTTCCCGGGCTGGAAGGAGTTCAGAGTCCTGGCCATTGTTGAGCAGTGGCATTTCATCCCTTCTCTCTCTTTTAATGAGCTCACTTTCTTTACAGTCGTTTCTTTTGACGTGATATTGCTGTGCTGCTGGTTCCAACTGCTCCAGTTAAACCACAAAACAGTTTCCGTTCTTACCTGCAGCGTTCACCTGCTGCAAACTTCCCCAGCCTTCACCTCAGGCGTGGGAGAGGTTTGCAGCCTGTATCTCTTGAAAGAGCACTACAGTGTTTTTTTTTCCAGTTTTTATTCCTGGGCAGTGAAAGCCAAACCCCATTAGTTGTTCTGTAGTTCAGATTACATTGTCAGAAGCTATGGGGTGATACCTCCTGCCACAGCGTTGTGAACTTTTTTCCTGGCGTCTGTTCTTTGAGCCACACTTTGAGCAGGATGCGGTGCTGGGTTCTCTTGGGGGTGACATTGAAATGGCTAAGATAGGTGACCCCAACTCATCCAGGCACGCAGTTTGGCATCTCTTTTTCTGCACAGGGGTGCGATCCCTCGCCAAGTTCTTGGCCACTTCCAGCTCAGCAGAGGCTCAAGAAGATGTGCAGGTTCTGCTGGACTCTTTGAGCTGTGGCAATCCCAAGTACCAGAACCAAGTCTACAAAGGCCTCGTTGCAGTGCTGCCATGCGCCTCCCCCCGTGCCCAGCAGCTGGCTCTCCAGATGCTGGCGGCCATGCAGGTGGGCAGCATGAGCTCCCCTGTCCTCCTTCCTGCCCTGGCAGGAGCTGTGCCAGTCTCCCTGGCCCTGGGGGCTGCCCCGTGCTGAGGAGAGGAGAGTCTGGAGCACTGTGTGATTACTGCTGCTGACACTCTGCCCTCATCCCCCCAGGACGCCATGGGAGAGGCACCCTCTGTCCTGGTGGAGCCCGTGCTGGGCATGCTGTGCTCAGTGCACCGGGAGGTAAAAAAAAGGAGTGTAGAGCCCCCCCAGCCACCCGGGGGGGAAGCCGAGAGGGCCTGGGGGAGTCTGGGCTGGGACACTAGGCCACTGGCGGGGCCACACGGGTGCAGCACCCCCCACAGAGCCCCACTCCCGACAACCTACAGCCGTGCTCGGCGCCCAAGGCGCCTCGTTAGCATATGATTCGTTAACATTCAGCTTATTTGCATACCCATGGTGCACCGCGGAGCGGCGGCACAGCTCCTTTAAGGCTGTCGGC